TACATGTGTGCCAGTTTGTTTTACAGACGAACTTGACTACATGTGTGAAAATTTGTTTTACAGACGAACTTGACTACATGTGTGACAGCTTGTTTTACAGACGAACTTGACTACATGTGTGCCAGTTTTGTTTTACAGACGAACTTGACTACATGTGTGCCAGTTTGTTTTACAGACAAACTTGACTACATGTGTGCCAGTTTGTTTTACAGATGAACTTGACTACATGTGTGAAAATTTGTTTTACAAACGAACTTGACTACATGTGTGACAGTTTGTTTTACAGACGAACTTGACTACATGTGTGCCAGTTTTGTTTTACAGACAAACTTGACTACATGTGTGCCAGTTTGTTTTACAGACAAACTTGACTACATGTGTGCCAGTTTGTTTTACAGATGAACTTGACTACATGTGTGAAAATTTGTTTTACAAACAAACTTGACTACATGTGTGACAGTTTGTTTTACAGACGAACTTGACTACATGTGTGCCAGTTTTGTTTTACAGACAAACTTGACTACATGTGTGCAAGTTTGTTTTACCACGTCCGGCTGTATATTAGTCCTGACAGCTGAATCACGGCACATTTTGGCTTAGTCACCTCGAAAATAGGTTACTGCAAGCGTTTCCGTGTTGCATTTTGTGACATTATAATATGCTTACAAACTTCTGTGTTTTGATTGTATTCATATTACAAATCGACAAGCGGATATTGTAAAGTGGACATACAAGCTGTTAGATTACAGCAATTTTAATTGTAATTCACGGTAGACAGTTGTGTTGTGATGTGTGTGTCACTGTTTCTAGTCAGTAGTTCGGATTTTTGGGAACTGGCTGTTTATTACTTTTCTACTTTAAATGTAGAAATATTACTTTTAGGGATAATACAAACAGGTAATTTAGAAGCCATATCTGGAGAATATCGACAGTTGTCAGGTGCAAACTATCTTGTGTTTGAAGAAAACTATTGCTTTCATATTGACTGTGCATAAATGGTGCAACCACACTGTGGATAAATTGTGTCAAGATATTTCCGAGCTCTAGGTAGGTGGATGAAAATAATATTTAATTTACTAACTAACCTCTCACAGCAAGTCACTCTTTGCCTCTTTACTAATTGTTGACTAACAGTATAATTATATGTTGTAGCAGTACACTAATAATATTAATCCTTAACCATTTGACTTATGCTTCTCGAACACTGGCTGTAAACTCTTGCGGAAACTTCTGGTAGTTCATCCTTTTCTTTTGCATATTTGCAGTTGTACGGTCTGTGTTAATTTTTGTAAACTGGCTTTTGCTTTGCTTTGCGAACACTGGCTGTAAACTCTTGCGGAAACTTCTGGTAGTTCATCCTTTTCTTTTGCATAGTTGCAGTTGTACGGTCTATGTTAATTTTTGTAAACTGGCTTTTGCTTTGCTTCGCGAACACTGGCTGTAAACTCTTGCGGAAACTTCTGGTTGTTCATCCACTTCCTATCTGGGCAAATTTGTTTGTGCTGTTTGTACCTTGAGGATACATATTTAGTAGTGCTAGAAGTACTGTTAAGAAAACTACTCTGGGTAAAAAAAATGTATTGCACATATCAATTTCGTACTGGTTGTGCTTGTTTACTAATTATTAAATAACAGTAAAATTATATGTTGTAGTAGTCTACTAATAATAATAATAATAACCATCAGTCATGTGTATTTATGTTATGTATGACATGTGTATGTTTCATAGCAGTATTTTTATGCGCTAAATTTGATCAAGTACAAATGTCACAGCATGCTTTCTGAATCAGTTACAATTACAATGTGTGTGTGTGTCGTGTTCTCTAGCCAGCAAAAAGCTGCAGTGACCGCCTCCACCTCCATTCTTAAGCTGGATGTTGTGGTATCATATGCTAGGCTCTCCTGTACCAAACATCGACCATTAACTTTTGCTAAGAAGCCCCAAGCACTTCTTTTGCCTCTTGACACTGAACCGTCTGTGTAACTGATCAAATCCTCCGAGCGAGCATTATCTTGAATTAATTGCTGAATTTCCACCTATGTGGCACCTGCTGGCCAGTCTCTGCATTCCCGGCTCGGCGTGATTATGACTCTACACAAGTCTGACTTCTCAGGGGGCACTTTGACCCACTCCTCTCCTCGCCTAATGTTCTCAAGGATGCAAACCTGTCTGATTGTGTCTACTGCCTGAGCCATCCATGACCTCCCTCTTATCAGCCGCTGACCCTTAACTGCACCCAGAGCTTCATGCAGAGGGTGGTCTGTGTCTGCAGCTACCCTGAGATATGACTTCGCCTGTATTACCTTGTGCCTACCTGCAACCGTCGGCAAACCAAGGATGTATCGCATACACACCACTGGGGTGTCTCTGGTGCAACCCAGAATAACCCGCATAGCCGCGTTCTGTATGCGCTCTAGTTTGTCCATCTGACTCTTTGAGACGGTAAGCAGTCCCAGGCCATAATCCACCTCTGACAGAATCAGGTGCTGATATAGTGTGAAAAGCATTCTCTGCTCTATGTCAATTGCAGCCATAGTTTTTAAGTGCACTAAGTCCTTTTTGGCATCTCGTCACAACACTCTCCACATGGTCCTTAAATGACAGGCTTCTGTGAAATGTAATCCCCAGATACTTCAGTTTGCTCTCTCTGTTGACGTCTCTACCATCTATCGTGAGACTTGGGACATTAGTTTTAACGATTCTGTTGTCCAGAGAACACCACAAAACGTACGCTTTTTCCGGGTGGACGACAGCCTTTATTTCTGTACACCACTCAGCCACTTTGTCTACTGTCGCTTGTAGCTCCCGGGCTGTTTGCTCCCTCTCTTCCCCCTGCCTATATGCAAGTATATCATCCGCAAAAGTCAGTATCCTTCCAACTCCTGGTGCTTCTAGGCTTGCAATCTTGCTCGTATACACGTTGAAGAGCACAGGCGAGATGGCGGATCCCTATGGCAGTCCTGGGGCCAAAGTGCATGGTTCAGAGGTCCATGAGCCCAGTCGGAGAGCAACCCGACGTGAATACAGGACAGCTGCAACCCAATTCACTAGCCATGGATTGACCTCCTTCTCCCTCAGTGCAGTCATTAAGATGTCGTATCTCACTCTGTTATAAGCATCCTCGAGATCCAGCCCTACCGCCATAGTTTCCTGTCTGTTCTGCAACCCTTCATAGACGTCAAAAGCAAAAGTGGCCGCATTTGCCCAAGTGTCCTTTCCTGGCCTGTAACTTCCCAGACCTCTTGGAAGAAGCTTCCCCCTTTCCAAAAATTCTTGTAACTTTACAGCAACTATCTTCTCCAAGACCTTCCCAAATGTGTTTTGTAAGGTGATGATTCTAAAGCCACTAAGCTTAGAATGATCTTTGAAGGGTTTTGGTAGTGAGATTAGATAGCTGTGCACCCAGTTGTTTTACAGATGAACTTGCCTACATGTGTGCCAGTTTATTTTGCAGATGAACTTGACTACATGTTTGCCAGTTTGTTTTACAGATGAACTTGCCTACATGTTTGCCAGTTTGTTTTACAGATGAACTTGACTACATGTTTGCCAGTTTGTTTTGCAGATGAACTTGACTACATGTTTGCCAGTTTATTTTGCAGATGAGCTTGACTACATGTGTGCCAGTTTGTTTTACAGACGAACTTGCCTACATGTGTGCCAGCTTTTTCTAAAGATGAGCTTGATTACATATGTGCCAGTTTGTTCTACAGATGAGCTTGTTTGAGCAGAATAAAAGCAACAGCCAGTTGTATCCACTGGACTCAGAACTTCGCCTCAAGCTGTCCTCATTAAATGTGTCCGAAGAGATGACTAAAACAAGGTGGGATATCTGTGTGCACAAAAACTTATATAGAAAACACAGGTTGAAAGTTGTGTGTGACATCAGTGTGAACACTGGTTGATATAGTGTGATATAGTAAACACTGGTTGTGTGTGAAATCAGTGGGATATAGCTCAGCTTACTGTGAGCATGGCCACCACACAAAGCAGGGTCATCACAGTGGGTCTGATGTCTGTCTGAATGTGCAGGTCTGGATGTGTGGGTTTGATGTTTGGATGTGTGGACCTGATATTTATATGGTATTTTATGTCTGTTTTTGTCTGGATGTATGGGGCTGATTTTGTGAGATGTGTGGGTCTAATGTTTGTTTGGATGTATGGGGCTGATTGTGTGAGATGTGTGGGTCTAATGTTTGTCTGGATGTATGGGGCTGATTTTGTGAGATGTGTGGGTCTAATGTTTGTCTGGATGTATGGGGCTGATTTTGTGAGATGTGTGGGTCTAATGTTTGTTTGGATGTATGGGGCTGATTGTGTGAGATGTGTGGGTCTAATTTTTGTCTGGATGTATGGGGCTGATTGTGTGAGATGTGTGGGTCTAATGTTTGTATGGATGTATGGGGCTGATTGTGTGAGATGTGTGGGTCTAATGTTTGTCTGGATGTATGGGGCTGATTGTGTGAGATGTGTGGGTCTAATGTTTGTCTGGATGTATGGGGCTGATTGTGTGAGATGTGTGGGTCTAATGTTTGTCTGGATGTATGGGGCTGATTGTGTGAGATGTGTGGGTCTAATGTTTGTATGGATGTATGGGGCTGATTGTGTGAGATGTGTGGGTCTAATGTTTGTTTGGATGTATGGGGCTGATTGTGTGAGATGTGTAGGTCTAATGTTGGTCTGGATGTATGGGGCTGATTTTGTGAGATGTGTGGGTCTAATGTTTGTTTGGATGTATGGGGCTGATTGTGTGGGATGTGTCGGTCTAATGTTTGTCTGGATGTATGGGGCTGATTTTGTGAGATGTGTGGGTCTAATGTTTGTTTGGATGTATGGGGCTGATTGTGTGAGATGTGTGGGTCTAATGTTTGTCTGGATGTATGGGGCTGATTGTGTGAGATGTGTGGGTCTAATGTTTGTCTGGATGTATGGGGCTGATTTTGTGGGTCTGTAATGATTATGATTTGATGTTGTGATTAAGTTGAGCTTCATCTGCCAGCAGCCACAGCTGTGACCTGGACTCCTCCGATGAGCAAGCACTGACAGAAACATTGGGCAATGAAGGTTCAGATGAGGATGGAGATGTGGAGATGTCTGAAGCTGGGGCTGGATCAAATGCTCCACATTTGAGGGATGCCCAGTTGCAGTTGATCCCAGCTCATGCAAGTGGAGTGGCCATGTATGTAGATCTTCATGGCCATGCCTCCAAGCGTGGCTGCTTCATCTATGGAAACTACTTTGAAGATGAAGACACTCAGGTAGATTGTTCTGTTTGTTTGTTGTAAAACAGTGTCATGTGACATGTTTTCTTTATAAATGCTGTCATATGACATGTTGTCTTATAACATAGTGTCATGTCACATGTTTTCTTCTAATAACCTGTCTTGTCACATATTTTCTTGTAACATCCTGTCATGTGACATGTTTTCTTTATATATGCTGTCATATGACATGTTGTCTTATAACACAGTGTCATGTCACATGTTTTCTTCTAATAACCTGTCTTGTCACATATTTTCTTGTAACATCCTGTCATGTAACTGTTTTCTTGAAACATCCTGTCATGTGACTGTTTTCTTTTAACATCCTGTCATGTGAATGTTTTCATTGGACATCCTGTCATGTACAGTATTTTCAAATCTTGTCATGTGATGTGTTTTCTTGTAACATCCTGTCATGTCACATGTTGTCTTATAACACAGTATTCTATGACATATTTTGTGTGTGGGTGTAATATCCTGACCTGTCATATGTTTTCTGGTAACGTCCTGTCATATGATGTTTTCTTGTAACATCCTGTCACATGATATGTTTTCTTGTAATATCCTGTCATGTTACATGTTGTCTTATAACACAGTGTTATGTGACACGTTTTTTTTTTCTTTGATGTAATATTCTGTCATATGATGTTTTCTAGTAAAATCTTGTCATATGACATGTTTTCTTGTAACATCTTGTCATGTGACATATTATCTTGTAACATCCTGTCCTCTGAAATGTTTTCTTCTAAAATCCTGTCCTGTGATATGATCTCTTGTAACATCCTGTTTTGTCACATGCACTTTATGTTACTTTTTTTTTAACCTGTTACTCTTTAATTTGCAATTCTTTCTTATATAAGTAGTATGACGTGTTTTCTTATATCGCACAGTCCTGGGACTGTCGCCAGCACCACGTGGATGTACACTTAAGTAGTGAGTGTGTAGGTTTGAATCCTAACACTGCACACTGACGGGAGAAATTGCACTAAAACTGGATGTTGATCCTAACCTGGATAACCAAGAAAACAGCACACATGGCTCTACAATAAACTGAAAGTAGCTATACTTGTACCCACTGGAGTAGGATAAGGGTAGTTAGAGGTCAAGATAAATTCAGTAGGAGAATATAAAGATACACAGTTAACCCCTCTGACTTTCTCCTCTCCTGGTATTAATTTATAACAAAAGCCTCCATGAAATGATTGACATAAAAGCATGGACATTGGGCTGGTGTTACAGTCAGATGAAGACAAAGGCCAGGCTATCCTGCACAGATTTCTCATGCAGACGGAAAAGAGAGATAGGGAAGAGAGGGAGCATCATGATCATCAGACTGCTGTTGGATATGCAGATAGAAACAAAAGTGGTCAACTGGATCGCTGCAGTGCTATTCCAATGAACAGTGTCACTTCGATGTGGTGAATGGGCATCCGAACCTTAACGCGTCCTAATGGGTCAGCCCCAGGGATCACCATTGTCCCCTGTGCTCTTCAATGTGTACACAGCAGGAGTCATAAGTGCACAAAGCGTAGGCCTAGGCAGAACAATGTTGTATGCAGATGATATCCTTGTTTACCGTCGACGTAAAAACAGGCAGGAAATTACCACGCTACAACACGAACTAGACAAACTTAGTGAATGGTGCCAGGAATCAAGAGCTCAGGTGAACCCGTCAAAAGCCTCCTTAACATGGTTCTTTCTGAATATCCACATCGTCAGTACACCAACGCCAGTCATAAGCATATGTGGTGTAAACATCAAGAGAACAGACACCATGAAATACCTGGGCATGACATTTGACAGATGCTTGTCATACAATGTCATACTTAGAGCCAGGAAAGGTCTGACAGCACTCAAGGTGTTAGCAGCAGCTGATATTTAACAATGCCTACTTTTCCTTCTCTAACAAGGGCTTGTGCTTATTGACTATGGTCTTGGCCTTCTCACTGTCAGCAAAACCCAGATAGAAAGACTGGACCGATTACAAAATGAGGCCATGAAACTCATACTGGGCTGCACAAAAGACACCTCCTGCAATGCCATGCGTTATGTCCTGGGTTTGCCCACGATGACTAGCAGATACAAAGTGGCACAGGTCAAGGCGTACATGAGGGTTTTGGCAGACGTTAACCACCCACCATTCTTAGATGGCAAAGGCTGAGGATTTAATCCAGCAGGTATGTGACCTAGACGTGATCAGTCATGAAAAAGTATGGACGAATACACCAGTAGACATGCATGGCATCTCTAAGGTTTTCATCACACTCGGAAGGTACTGCCGGGATCAAATTCCTGCGGCCATAGACACAGAAGTAAGAGAACTGATAGATCAGCATTCAGACCCAGAAGATATCATCATCTACACAGATGGATCTGTGAAGCGCGGATCAAAGTCAGCATGGGCATACACAGCGCAAAGAAGGGGGAAAACAATGCAGGTGTAAAGGGAAATGAGCGAGCGGACCAACTGACAAGCACTGCACTGAGGATTGTGGGAAAAAGCATGGACAGAGCAGATATTACTAGATTACCCGAACACATAAGTGAGCTGAGGTAGAATTGTATGCACAAAGACACTTGAACCTAAGTACACAATTTACCCAACTAATATTTCATAATGTGAACAAGATTTTATTGAATCATTCTAAAGAAAAATAAACGGATGGTATTGATATTACAATGATAAAATATAATAGCTCAATGATGAAGATCAGTGAGTTGAATACCTGCATATGATATTAGAGGGAGGGGGTGTTATGATAATGATATTTCTTATGAATAATAAGTACATAACTTGCAAAAGAGAGATAAACCTCAGACATATCTCAATTTGTTGAACTTTTCCCAGCCTGTTGTCCTCACTGCTTCAATCTGGTTGTTCACTGGACCATGAGCTTTTAATAAATGCTGACTGGTCCTTGCCCTTGAGGGGAACTGGGACAATTCCAGTGATTTGCCAAATAAGACACACAGCTAGAGTGACTTTCTGCTGTAGATCTTAGTCGTTGGCATGCTGACAGCAATCTGAATTGGTTTCAAGACCCCTAGCTGTATTAATCTTTCCCGTCATCTTAATTAGCAGACTTTAGCTCCTCCCCTTATCTGCATCAAACTCTTTCCTTCAGGGAAGCCTTTGAGTTCCACCCCTGAAGTTCTTTCAAACTGTATTTATCTTTCCTTGTGGCTGTCAATCAATTGACTGCCCACCTACTGATCAAACTTTTAAAAGTGGATTCCATCTGGTTCAACCCAGTGGCAATAAAGAGTGTGAGAAACCAGTCAAGTGGAGCCATCATGTCTGGACTTTCCTACTCGCCCAGGCCATTTCCCCAGAATTAGCAGGTTCAGAAGTGCTAAGCTTAACCTAATGTGTCATATTTCTGAAACGTCTTGTTTCCCCAGGTGGCTGGCTGGTAATATTGTGTAATCTTAGGCTAAGACTAGTTTCTTTGTCTGGTCTAAGAACTGAAAACAGTTTTTTTTAATCCCACATGGTTTTAGGAGTTGGGCTTAGTGCACAGTAAATACAATTCTTAGTTTCTTTATTGAAGAAAGAAATGATTATTAAACAGACTAAATTCTAAAATCACTGAGGTGGTTTCGTCAGAGGGACATGTTTTCCTACAGTCTTGTGACATGTCTTCTTATATCACACCATATCGGGACATGATTATAACAGTGGGCTTGTTTGTGACATTCTGTATTTGTCTGTGACACCCTGGACTTGTTTGTATCCCTCTAATGCTGTCTCTGACACTCTAGCCCTGTGTCTGACACTCTAGTCCTGTCTCTGATGCTCTCATCTTGCCTGTCTGTGACACTCTGGTTCTGCCTGTCTGTGACACTCTGGTCCTGTCTGTGACACTCTGGTCCTGTCTGTGACACTCTGGTCCTGTCTGTGACACTCTGGTCCTGTCTGTGACACTCTGGTCCTGTCTGTGACACTCTGGTCCTGTCTGTGAAACTCTGGTCCTGTTGGTGACACTCTGGTCCTGTTGGTGACACTCTGGTCCTGTTGGTGACACTCTGGTCCTGTTGGTGACACTCTGGTCCTGTTGGTGACACTTTGGTCCTGTTGGTGACACTCTGGTGCTGTTAGTGACACTCTGGTCCTGTTGGTGACACTCTGGTCCTGTTGGTGACACTCTGGTCCTGTCGGTGACACTCTGGTCCTGTCGGTGACACTCTGGTCCTGTCAGTGACACTCTGTCCTGTCTGTGACACTCTGGTCCTGTTGGTGACACTCTTGGCATGTTTTTGTCACTCTTTTCTTAAATGTGACTCTGTGATGTTGTCTTCTCGGCCCTTGGCTGTTGTCTAGGGGCTTAATCTAACTGATGATATGACTGACGCTCTACGACAACACAGATGTTATGAGTAAACACCATCTCCATGAAACAGATATATTTACTAACATTTGAGCACTTACAAAATATGTCCAGTCCATATACATTGAACAGTGAAGCATTCACACTCTGGAGTTCTCAGTCTTCACTTCAACATCTCCGTATGGGTGACTCCGGTCATTGTATTCGTGGTTTCCCGCAACTGAGTCGGGTGGACTTCACTTTGATGAATGTTGTAGTCGAGTCATCGTCTTGAAGTAGTCAGTTTCACATTGACAAGGATTCTTCACATTCATACTCGTTCCAACGGTCCAACACATACTGTCTAATCAGAACATCGGTCTGATATTATAGCCAGGTGTTGGGCTCCACGTGGCAACACATGGTCATTTCCCCTCCTTGAGAACCTTGTTTTCTTCCGAGTGTTTGGCTTCCCTCGGTTTTCTGTTCTACCTCAACTTTTCCCCCTGCCTTCTTAATCAGGGAATCCCCGTGTGAAAAAATCCCATGTTACATATTCTCCCCCACCCACATAAAAAAAAAACTAACCTATTTTTTTTCCCGTTATCTTTAATGGTTTAGAGTCCATTTATGAAATGTTTGGGTATTTTCACTGGTATCTTTAGTAAAAATTATTCCCACCCCTTTTGGTTACCAAAGTTCTTCCTTCGGAACTTTGTCAGTTGTCGTGCCCAGTGAGTACCATGTAGTGTAATTAAATCGACACCCCAGGCAATACTCTTTCAATTGCAGAAGACCATAAAGGCTCTGTGCATTTCCCACTCCATCCCACAGTCTGTCAAATGACAAAAAATCACTCCAAGGCACTACTATTTCAAGTGCGGAAATCCATAACGGCTATGGAATAGCAATGTAAAAACCCATAAAGTCCCACCCTTGCTACTGCACTCACTGAACACCCACTGATGTCCGTTTCAATTGGATCTTCATGTTTCCCCTTATAGGAGCTGTGAACCAATTACCCGTAATTATAGTGATTTCCCTTAGTCAATTTTACATTACCAATGATTATCTCCCTTTATGTTACCAAGACAGTCTAATATATCTTATGATATGTTCATTTAACACCATTTTTCATTATCTATACATATTTTCAACATTGAATAAAATCATTGCATGTACTCATTATTGATTAAATCATTTCATCATCTCAAAATGTTTCAATGAATATACCTTCAATACATATATGTAGTTTCACTTTTGTAAAAAAAAATCATTCAGACACCAATACATTGAATAGTGATGCATTCACACTCTGGAGTTTTCCGTCTTCACTTCAACATCTCTGTATGGGTGACTCCGGTCATTGTATTTATGGTTTTCTGCAACTGAGTTGGGTGGACTTCACTTTGATGAATATTGCAGTTGAGTCATCATCTTGAAGTAGACAGTTTCAGGTTGACAAGGATTCTTCACATTCATACTGGATCTCGTTCCAACGGTCCAACACATACTGTCTAATCAGAACATGGTCTAATATTAAAGCCAGGTGTTGGAATCCATGTGGCAACACATGGTCGTTTCCCCTCCTTGAGAACCTTGTTTTCTCCGAGTGTTTGGCTTCTCTCGGTTTTCTGTTCTACCTTAAGTTTTCCCCCTGCCTTCTTAATCAGGGAATTCTCATGTGAAAATATCCCACATTACAGACTCTCTAGTCCTGTCTCTCACATAAATAAGCAGAGGGGAACCATTGAAGCCAGAGAAATATTATATACCTATATATATATATATATATATATATATATATATATATATATATATATAAAAAAATCAATGTTTTTTTTTGTTTGTCACCTATAGACTCAGAAACTACCGAACCGATTTCACTGAACATTTTCAGGATATGTTTGTTTTGATACCGGTATGCTGCCTGCCATGCTTTGAAACCAGTGGCAACATTTGCTAGGATCATTTTCGAAACACATTTTTTCATTTTAGTGACATTTAATTAACACCACATTCGTAGAACGTTCATGTGCTATAGTCGGGACACACCCCTCTATTTGTTTCGTTGTATTTCACAGAGGAGTGGCTGGTGGAATGGTTAGAATGCTGGACTCTTGTGCGGGAGACCTGGGTTCGAATCCTCTGTACGGCTGGTGATTTATTTTTTACTTGGGGTGAAATAACATCATCACCTGCAGTCATGGTGACAGCACTAGCCATACAGCCCTAAAAAATTTTCTTTTTTACTTTTTTTTGTTTGGTTATACCTCAGTTATTCTAATTTTTTTTTTCTTCAGATTATTTGGTAATTTACAGGTACAGTAGAAAGCTTTTTTTTTTAGTTCTGTAAAAAATACTAACAGATTTAGTATTTATTATGACACTATTAGCTTGTCTATGACACTCATAGCTTGTCTATGACAATCTTAGCTTGTCTATGACACTATGGTCTTTTCTGTGACACTCTTTGCTTATCTGTGACACTCTGGTCTTTTCTGTGGCATGAGACTGTCGCTAGCATTATTTTTGTATCTTGTAATGTTGATATTTAGACACAGGGATTCCCTGGGGAAGAATGTGATAGGGAAACCTCAAGATATGACAGACAAACGGGATAACGCAAATACTTTTAGAAACACGAGGTACTCGAGCAGGTTAGACGACCACATGAAGCCACGTGGAACCCAACACAAGGTTATAAGACTAGACAAAGGTCTAATCAGGCAGTATGTGTTTGCCAGCCGGAGCGAAAGGGTGTATCTGAGATTCAGCGTGAATGTGACAGTGTATCTGGCAATGTGAGGAGTCTGTTCTGAGAGAAGACAATAAGATGACAGGCTGACAATGATCCGCTTCAAAGTGGCATCCAACCAGTTCCAATTGCTCAAGAAGTCAAACCACCATGCTTAGAACTGACGGAGCAACCATGGCGTGTATTCTGAATGTGAGGAAAGAAGACTGAGAGGTATTAAGTGCGAATGAAAGAATACTCCAAGTTGATGTCTGAACAATGTCATATTATAATTTTATAATGGCTAGCTCGTAGTGGATACTGACCGGACAAATGGTATGTGAAATTGTTAAAAAGTATATAAATAAGATATCGTCTTATCCTACCACCTGTGTCTACTTAGAGTGTGAATCATGTCTTCAATAAGAACAAACCGCTAGAAACCAGCTAAGACACGGATTAGACAATATCACAATCTCTATGCTGAACTGTGTTTCATCACAGGTTCAATATTGTTTCTAAACATGAGACTGTCACTGACAGTATTTGTGTATCTCTATGCTGAACTCTGTATCATCACAGGTTCAATATTATTTTTAAACATGAGACTGTCACTGACAGTATTTGTGTATCTCTATGCTGAACTCTGTATCATCATTCAGTATTGTTTCTAAATATGAGACTGTATTGCTGATAATATTTGACCAGGTTGAGAACATGATGTTTGCCAAGCTGGTGTCCCTCAATACACCACACTTTGATTTCACCGGCTGTAATTTCTCAGAAAGAAATATGTACACTAAAGACAAACGAGATGGAATGTCTAAGGAAGGAAGTGGTCGTGTTGCCATCTACAAAGCTACTGGGCTGATGCGTAGGTGAGATTTTCATTTCTATCTCTCTTCATCTTCTAATGTCATGTTCATTTGAGCTACTACTTCTTGATCTTCTTCTTTTTCTCATCATCCCCCTCCTACTCTCCCTTCTCCTCATCCTCTTAGTTTTTAACATCCTATTTTTCTTGCTTATCCTCCTCCTCCCCTAACCCTTCTTCTCCTGCTGCTGCTGCTTCTCCTTCTTCTCCTCCTCCTCCTTCCTTTCCCCTCCTTCCTTATTTCTTTCAGATTCCTTCTTTTCTTTTTTCTTTATCTTCTTCGTCTTCTTCTTCTTCTCCTCCTCCTTTTACTTCTTCTTCTTCTTCTTCTTCTTCTCTTCTTCTTCTTCTTCTTCTTCTTCTTCTTCTTCTTTTTCTTCTTTTACTTCTTTGTTTATCTTTCTTTCTTTCTTTCTTTCTTTCTTTCTTTCTTTCTTTCTTTCTTTCTTTCTTTCTTTCTTTCTTTCTTTCTTTCTTTCTTTCTTTCTTTCTTTCTTTCTTTCTTTCTTTCTTTCTTTCTTTCTTTCTTTCTTTCTTTCTTTCTTTCTTTCTTTCTTTCTTTCTTTCTTTCTTTCTTTCTTTCTTTCTTTCTTTCTTTCTTTCTTTCTTTCTTTCTTTCTTTCTTTCTTTCTTTCTTTCTTTCTTTCTTCCTTTCTTCCTTTCTTCCTTTCTTCCTTCTTCTTCATTTTTATCTTCATCTTCTCCTTCCTCTTCATTTTCATCTTCATCTTCTCCTTCCTCTTCTTCTTCTTCATTTTCTTCTTTATCTTTTTCTTCTTTATCTTTTTTATTATCTTCTTCTCTTTCTGTGCATCTCATGTTGGCATGTTTTTTTTAAGCTGCTGCCACTATTACTATTTCTCATGTTTTTTTTAGAGGTGCTCTGTCTACATATTCTCATGTTATCTTGATTTTTAGAGGTGTTCCGAATACATTTTCTCATGCTGTCTTTTTTTTTTATTTGAGCTACTCTGACTACATCTTCTTTTATTGGTGTGTTAATTTATGTTGCTTCAACTACATCTTCTCATGTTATCCTGATGATTATCTGAGTTGCTCCACTTCTTCTCATGGTATCTTGGTTATTTCAAGTGTTCAGACTACAGCTTCTCTTGTTTTTGGATGTGCTCTGACTATTGTTTCTCATGTTGGCATGTTTATTCTCTGATGACATTCTCTCATGTTTTTCTTGTCTATTTTAAGTGCTCCACCTACATCTTCTAATGTTTTTCTTGTCTATTAGAGGTGCTTCAACTATCTTCTCATGTTTGTATTGTCTGTTTAAAGAGCTCTGACTACATCCTCTCGTGTTTTTCTTGTCTATTTTGTCTATTTGAGGTGTTCTGACTACATCTTCTTATGTTTTTCTTGTCTATTTGAGATGATCTGACTATATCTTGTCATGTTTTTCTTGTCTGTTTGAAGAGCTCCGACTTCATCTTCTCATATTTTTCTTGTCTATTTTGTCAATTTGAGGTGTTTTGACTACATCTTCTCATGTTTCCTTGTCTCTGTCATCCTGCCGGTGATAGATTATGGACTTGGAATACTTACCATATCAAAGAGTTAGCTGATAAAACTCAAACGCATACAGAATGAAGCCATGTGAGTGATTCTGTGAGGTACAAGAGATACCCCAGTAGTATGTATGCGAAATACTTGCACTGCTGAATATTGCAGATAGGCTCAAAGTCCTGCAGGCAAAGTCATATCTCAGAGTAGCTATGGACAAGAGGCAGCTCCTGCATGAAACCCTGTGTAGAGCTAACAGTAAGAAGAAGGTCTTCGAGGATGCAAGCTGAAGGCACAATTGGCTTGATAACTTTGAGCATGGAGAGGAGTGGGTCAAGGTGTCTGAACAAGTTTCAGACTTGTGTAGGGTTCTAATCACTTTAGGTCATGAATGTAGAGACTGACCAACTGGTGCTGCAGAATCAGAAGTTCTACAAATGATTCATGACAATTCCTGTCCAAGATTATCTATACAGATGGCTCTGTGTTGAGGGGCAGACGAAGTGCATGTGGGTTCATAGCAAAGACAAATAGACGTCGCTTAATGCAACAAAGCCTTGCTTATGATATCATTAAGTCTAGTTTGAGAATGGAGGTGGAGGCAGTCTCTGCTACCTTTCACTGGCTTGAGAATCAGCTGTAGACACATGCCTTGATTGTAACTGACTCACAGAGCATGTTGAGAAAGGTGGAGACAGCCATGCTTCGTGCAGAGTGGCAAATATCACTTCAGAGGTCCTGGGTAGTTAGCATCCTTTGGATATTTTCTCCAGGTCATGCCGGTGTGTTGGGGAATGAGCAGGCAGATAGACTGGCCAGTTCTGCACCACTTGGTGGTGAATTGATGTATAAGCTTGCTGCTGAAGATGGGAATGGAGCACTTATGGGAGTGTCCTGAGTGATGTGATGTTGATTCATAATTCAGCATTTAACATGTTTTCCTTGTCTATTTGAGGTGCTCAGACTACATCTTTTAATGTTTTACTGATTATTTGAGGTGTTCCGACTACATCTTATGTTTTCTTTCGGAAAAAGGGGGGGGGGGGGGGTTGCTTTGACTACATCCTCTCATGTTTTCTTGTCTATTTTAGGTTCTGTGCCTACATCCTCTTGTTTTTCTTGTCTGTTTGAGGTGCTTTGACTACATCCTCTCATGTTTTCTTGTCTATTTTAGGTTCTGTGCCTACATCATCTTGTTTTTCTTGTCTGTTTGAGGTGCTTTGACTACATCCTCTCATGTTTTCTTGTCTGTTTGAAGTGCTCCAACTATATCTTTTCATTTTTTCTTGTCTGTTCAAGAGCTCCGACTACACTTTCTCATGTTCTTCTTGTCTGTTTTGGGTGCTCCAACTACATCTTCTCATGTTTTCTTGTCTATTTGAGGGGCTGGCTCCAACTACATCTTCTCATGTTTTCTTGTCTATTTGAGGGGCTGGCTCCGACTATATCTTCTCATGTTTTCTTGTCTATTTGAGGGGCTGGCTCCAACTATATCTTCTCATGTTTTCTTGTCTATTTGAGGGGCTGGCTCCGACTATATCTTCTCATGTTTTCTTGTCAATTTGAGGGACTGGCTCTGACTATATCTTCTCATGTTTTCTTGTCAATTTGAGGGACTGGCTCTGACTATATCTTCTCATGTTTTCTTGTCTATTTGAGGGGCTGGCTCCAACTATATCTTCTCATGTTTTCTTGTCTATTTGAGGGGCTGGCTCCAACTATATCTTCTCATGTTTTCTTGTCTATTTGAGGGGCTGGCTCCAACTATATCTTCTCATGTTTTCTTGTCTATTTGAGGGGCTGGCTCCAACTATATCTTCTCATGTTTTCTTGTCTATTTGAGGGGCTGGCTCCAACTATATCTTCTCATGTTTTCTTGTCTATTTGAGGGGCTGGCTCCAACTATATCTTCTCATGTTTTCTTGTCTATTTGAGGGGCTGGCTCCAACTATATCTTCTCATGTTTTCTTGTCTATTTGAGGGGCTGGCTCCAACTATATCTTCTCATGTTTTCTTGTCTATTTGAGGGGCTGGCTCCGACTATATCTTCTCATGTTTTCTTGTCAATTTGAGGGACTGGCTCTGACTATATCTTCTCATGTTTTCTTGTCAATTTGAGGGACTGGCTCTGACTATATCTTCTCATGTTTTCTTGTCTATTTGAGGGGCTGGCTCCAACTATATCTTCTCATGTTTTCTTGTCTATTTGAGGGGCTGGCTCCAACTACATCTTCTCATGTTTTCTTGTCTATTTGAGGGGCTGGCTCCGACTATATGTTCTCATGGAGACAGAGGTCAAAAGGAGGATGGCCACATCAATATGAAGATTAAATAGAATTAAAAGTCTAAGGGTAAAGCATCAGCAATAAAATAAGGTCAGCATTTTTTTAGAGCACACATCTTGATTTGATTTGATTCAAGAACCGACATCACAGCACTCAGGGCATTCCCATAAGCGCTCCATCCCCATCTTCAGCAGCCAGCGAAGAGTTCCGATACTAATGGTGCCAGTAGCATTCTGATTAAACATCCGCCTTGCTTTTCCTCTGAGACTCAAGCATCTGCCAGAACCTCTCCTCATTCCCCACTGCATCAATCTCACCAGACTGTGGTGATCCATCTGCTTCTCCGAACTGTACACGCTCTTCCAGAAGGCACTAACCACGTCTGCCCTATCATGTATCAGTATTCCACTAAGTTGTGCAGAGCCAGCCAGTCTGTCCGCCTGTTCATTTCCCAACACACTGGCGTACCCGGTGAACAAATCCAGACAATACTCCTCACTCGTGTCCTCCGCAGCGAAGCATGCTACTCTGCACGAAGCACACCTGTTCTGATCTTCCTCAGCATGCTTTCTGAATCAGTTACAATCACGATGTGTGTGTGTGTAGTGTTCTCTGGCCAGCAGAAAGCTGCAGTGACCGCCTCCACCTCCATTCTTAAGCTGGATGTTGTGGTGTCATATGCTAGGCTCTCCTGCACCAAACATCGACCATTAACTTTTGCTAAGAAGCCCCAAGCACTTCTTTTGCCTCTTGACACTGAACCATCTGTGTAAATGATCAAATCCTCTGAGCAAGCATTATCTTGAATTAATTGCTGAATTTCCACCTCTATGGCACCTGCTGGCCAGTCTCTGCATTTCCGGCTCTGCGTGATTATGACTCTACACAAATCTGACTGTTCAGGTGGCACTTTGACCCACTTCTCTCCTCGCCTAATGTTCTCAAGGATGCAAACCTGTTTGATTGTGTCTTCTGCCTGAGCCATCCATGACCTCCCTCTTATTAGCCGCTGACCCTTAACTGCACCCAGAGCTTCATGCAGAGGGTGGTCTGTGTCTGCAGCTACCCTGAGATATGACTTCGCCTGCAGCACCTTGTGCCTACCTGCAACCGTCGGCAAACCAAGGATGTATCGCATACACACCACTGGGGTGTATCTGGTGCAACCTAGAATGACTCGCATAGCCGCGTTCTGTATGTGCTCTAGTTTGTCCATCTGACTGTTTGAGACGGTAAGCCATCCCAGGCCATATTCAACCACTGAGAGGATCAGGTGCTGATATAGCACACATTTTACCTACAGCAACCTATGGATTTGAGTCATAAACAGTAATTACGGAAGAAAACAGGGGTATCCTAAAAGATCTGAATGTCAAGGAAGATTGGCTAGTAAATGGCATCTTGTCTCGGAAACTGACATATTTTGGCCACATCAAAGGCTACAGTAGATTGGAAAAAAACAGCAGTGGAAGGCATAGTAGTACTGGAGATCAGGCAATGCTGACCAGCACAAAGATGGGCACAGGATCCAAGGGGCACCTTGGATAAGGGAGAGAGCTGACAAGAGACCAGGTTTCCCTCAGAACTGTTATGATAGGAATATCATTCTGTAAATTACCTGTTTGAGATGGCAATGTTTTAAAAACTTACAAATGGGGCAGAGTTAAACTGTTTTTGATGGCAACTAGAAAACAGTTGTTGATGACAATTAGAAAACAGTTGTTGATGGCAGTTAGCAAACAGTTGTTGATGACAGTTAGAAAACAGTTGTTGATGACAGTAAGCAAACAGTTGTTGATGACAGAAAATGGTTGTTGATGAAAGTTAGAAAACAGTTGTTGATGGCAGTTAGCAAACAGTTGTTGATGACAGTTAGAAAACAGTTGTTGATGAAAGTAAGCAAACAGTTGTTGATGACAGAAAATGGTTGTTGATAAAAGTTAGAAAACAGTTGTTGATGGCAACTACAAAACAGTTGTTGATGACAGTTAGAAAACAGTTGTTGATGACAGTTAGAAAATATTTGTTGATAACAATTAGAAAATAGTTATTGATGACAATTAGTAAATAGTTTTTGATGCCAATTAGAAAATAGTTAATGCAGTGGTCACACCTAGCCATATTTTCTTTAAGGTAAGATGCAGCCTGTTATATAAAATATTGAAAGTTATTAAATTGACAGTAATTGTTTACATAAACTGATTGTGGATTTCAGCAGTCACAACATATATTGTTCATGTTTCTGCAGTTATACGCTTGAGTGCAACTACAACTCTGGCCGTGCTGCCAGCTACATCCCTCCAGCACATGGAGACGGTGGATGTGTCACACCACCACCTCCTGTTGGATACCCCACCAAGTACACGCCTGCTCACTTTGAAGATGTAACACTGATTTTTCATTAATTTATTCTCAGTTTCTCCTTCATGCAGGGCAAATATCATTAACAGCAGCCATATTTGCCCCATTGCTTGGTATATACGACTGAATTTGCTCAGGTCATCTTGTAAACACTTAACATGTCATGTGCATATAGTGATCATAATATAGCTTCTTGGATAAATTGTGAAAATATCAACATATCCGGATGTCACACCACAGACAAGAAAAAATATTGAAGATATCAATACACACAGTCACTCCACAGACAACAAGAATAAATATTGAAGATATCAATACACACAGATGTCACACCACAGACAAGAATAAATATTGAAGATATAATACACACAGATGTCACACCACAGACAAGAATAAATATTGAAGATATAATACACACAGATGTCACACCACAGACAACAAGGATAAATGTTGAAATCATCAATACACACAGATGTCACACCACAGACAACAAGGATAAATGTTGAAGTCATCAATACACACAGATGTCACACCACAGACAACAAGGATAAATGTTGAAGTCATCAAAAGACACAGATGTCACACCACAGACAACAAGGATAAATGTTGAAGTCATCAATACACACAGATGTCACACCACAGACAACAAGAATAAATGTTAAAGTCATCAATAGACACAGATGTCACACCACAGACAACAAGAATAAATGTTAAAATCATCAATACACACAGATGTCACACCACAGACAATAATGAATTTTGAAATCCTTGATACATGCAGATGTCACACCACAGACAACAAGAATAAATTTTGAAGTCATCAATACACGCAGATGTCACACCACAGACAACAAAAATAAATGTTGAAGTCATCAAAACACACAGATGTCACACCACAGACAAGAATAAATGTTGAAGTCATCAATAGACACAGATGTCGCACAACAGACAACAAAAATAAATGTTGAAGTCATCAATAGACACAGATGTCACACCATAGACAAGAATAAATGTTAAAGTCATCAACAGACACAGATGTCACACCATAGACAACAAAAATAAATGTTGAAGTCATCAATACACGCAGATGTCACACCACAGACAACAAAAATAAATGTTGAAGTCATCAATACACACAGATGTCACACCACAGACAACAAGAATAAATATTGAAGTCATCAATACACACAGATGTAACACCACAGACAACAAGAATAAATGTTAAAGTCATCAATACACACAGATGTCACACCACAGACAACAAAAATAAAAGTAAAGATCACTCTGTATAATTATATAGTAATTTTTATTACCAAGGAATTAACAAACAAAACAAAAAAAAAAACACAGAGAAGATGACACTATACTGGACAACCACTAGTATCAATAGTTATAAGACAGAGAAGATGACACTGCACTGGACAACCAATAGTATCAATAGTTATAAGACAGAGAAGATGACACTGCACTGGACAACCACTAGTATCAATAGTTATAAGACAGAGAAGATGACACTGCACTGGACAACCAATAGTATCAATAGTTATAAGACAGAGAAAATGACACTATACTGGACAACCAACTTATATCAATAGTTATAAGACAGATAAGATGACCCTACACTGGGCAACCACTAGTATCAATAGTTATAAGATAGAGAAGATGACACTATACTGGACAACCACTAGTATCAATAGTTATAAACCGAGAAGATGACACTATACTGGTCAACCACTAGTATCAATAGTTATAAACCGAGAAGATGACACTATACTGGACAACCACTAGTATCAATAGTTATAAGACTGAGAAGATGACACTATACTGGACAAGCACTAGTATCAATAGTTATAAGACTGAGAAGATGACACTACACTGGACAACCACTAGTATCAATAGTTATAAACCGAGAAGATGACACTATACTGGACAACCACTAGTATCAATAGTTATAAGACTGAGAAGATGACACTATACTGGATTAAGGAGGTGGGGACACCCAAAAGAAACCCTGAGATGAATGCTGATGTGAGAGGCCAAAGCTGCTGGACAGGATTGATATTGATGATATTGAACTGATTACACAGAAGAGAACTTAATGGAGGATTAGAATGCCAGCCCTTTGTGACATATAATAGTACAACAGGATAATGAATAAATGAATTAATATATAACAGAGACTATATATAACAGAGACTATATATAACAGAGACTATATATAACAGAGACTATATATAACAGTGACTATATATAACAGAGACTATATATAACAGAGACTATATATAACAGTGACTATATATAACAGTGACTATATATAACAGTGACTATATATAACAGAGACTATATATAACAGTGACTATATATAACAGAGACTATATATAACAGAGACTATATATAACAGAGACTATATATAACAGAGACTATATATAACAGAGACTATATATAACAGTGACTATATATAACAGTGACTATATATAACAGAGACTATATATAACAGTGACTAAATCTAACAAATGACTTAATATGACATATACCAGTGACTAAGTTACACTATGAATCTGAACATCAATCATATTAAAATACTCGAAAAATCTGAACATAAGTTGAATGAATTTACTCAACAGATGTAAACATGTTGTCTTCATGAATTGTGTAGACTTTGGGAGACACTGAGTTCATGAAAAGTTGACTTCATAAATTGTAAACCTTGTAAAATGTTGAATGCATGAAACATTGACTTATTGAATTGTTGACAGTGAAACATTCACTGCATGAAATGTTGACTTCATAATTTGTTGACTTTGTGAAGGATTCAGTTCAGGAAACATTGACTTTATTAATTGTAGACCATTAAAAATTGAGTGCATGAAACAGAGACTTTTTGAAACACTGACTTCATATAATTTTGACTTCACGAAAAGCTAACTTCATGAAGGTTATTTTCATGAAACACTGACTTGAAATGAATGTTAACTTCATGAAACATTGATTTTGTTAAATATCGACTTCATGAAATACTTTCTTGATAAATTGCTGTAAATTCTTGGTTTGGATTTTTAATTCACAAGTAAACTTCTTTGTTCAGATTGTTCATTCACAAAAATAAACATTGCTTGTCTTCAGGTGGGTAAAGCAGTTGCTATAGCAACACTAGATCTCACAGAGACAAATCCTTGGTCACGGGTTCTAAACTGGGACCACACAAACCGGCAGATACTTAGTGAGGCTGTGCGACGCTATCTTCGAGGTTTGAGGGGTCATTGTCGTACAGCCAAGAGCAGTTCTCATCAAGTCAGCAGCAACAAACATGCCAGGTATTGACTTCATGTTTCACTGATCATTCACAAAAACAAAACAGTCACCTTAGTCTTCATATAGCAAACAGTGCTGACACAACTCAGCGCTCAGCGAAGAGTCGTAATGCAGTGGATACCGTCTCATTGTGGAGTGCCTGGAAATGAGAAAGCTGATCAACTGGCAGGGAAAGGTGCGAAAAAAGAGCAGCCAGATGTACCAGTCACATACCACCAAAAGAAAAGAATCATTAAATCGATCAGGAAACCACCAACCCCAGCACAAGACGACTATTTTATTATGGACAGACCAGAACAAGTCATTATCTTCCGCCTCAGAACATGGCACAACCGATTACGTAACCACATGTACACAAAATTCAAGATAGGTGTATCAGCCATGTGCACCTGTGGAAATGTGCCCCAGACCGCAGAGCATGTACTCCAGGACTGCACCGATTTTAACACATTAAGGCAAACCTTTTGGCCAGAAAGAACAACAGTGGAACGTAAACTCTATGGACCACTGAATGAACTAACAACGACAGTGAAATTTATACAAGAGACAAAACTGCTGATATAGATAACTTATTTCAGGCGAACGAAAGAAGAAGAAGTCTTCATATACATTAAACAATTCTCATAATCATCAGTTACATTAAAAAACTTTTTATAGTCATCGGTTAAATTAAACAGTTCTCATAGTCATCAGTTATATTAAACAATTTTCAAAGTCATCAGTTACATTAAACAATTCTCATTGTCATCAGTTACATTAAACAATTCTCATAGTCATCAGTTACATTAAATAGTTCTCACAGCCATCAGTTACATTAAACAGTTCTCATCTTCATCAGTTACATTAAACAGTTCTCACAGTCATCAGTTACATTAACAAATTCTCATATTCGTCAGTTACATTAAACAATCTCATAGTCATCAGTTACATTAAAAAATTCTCATTTTCGTCAGTTACATTCAACAGTTCTCACAGTCATCAGTTACATTAAACAGTTCTCATCGTCATCAGTTACATTAAACACTTTTTATTGTCACCAATACATTGATCAATTCTCATAGTCATCAGTTTTTTAAACAGTTCTCATAATTATCATTTACATTAAAAAGTTCTCATCGTCATCAGATACATTAAACACTTTTTATAGTCATGAATACATTGATCAGTTCTCATGGTCATCAGTTATATTAAACAGTTCTCATATTTATCATTTTTTTAACAGCAACTTGATTCACAAAATCTATGGCTAGACTACCTATCATCTATCATACCTTACCAGTCAAACGATTTCATTGAAATCCTAAAGGACATAGACCCTATTATCTTTTAACTGTTTAATCAAAAATATCCACGGTAAGAGCCTCCTTTCTCTTTCAACTTTGTTCAGATCCTACAGAACGAGATACCCTCCATATGTCAGCGACCTGCTTTCTTATTTATTACTCTGGCTCATCGGGTAGGCCCAATAATAGATTCAGCTACTTTAAAAATGCACCTAAAACACACACCTACGAAATACACACATAATCTTTAATGAACAAAGAGCAGTTCACCTAAAGCAAGCCTCAACAGCTATGGACAGTCCCTTATCCGAAACGCCAGCTGTGGTAGCTTTTACATTCACTAACACACACCGTGCCGTCTCAGAAACAAATTGAGAGATAGCAGTTATGGGTTAGAAGTCATTGTCAACTGATGTAGACTCCGGCGCCACCTGTTACCTCTGAGGATGGGAGACATTATCAGTTGCGACTTATGAGCTACTGGCTGCCTCAAGCTTGGGCACAGGAAAAATATAAACATTATGTAATAAAAAATATAATGTTGGTCACATTAAGGAAAATGGGCAAAGCCTATTGGAATTTTGCACTAGACGTGATGTAATGTGCTCATCTAGGGGCATGAATTGTTTACATTGCTTTCAGACGAACAGTGAGTTGAAACGACACAGCATGAACGAATATTGAGTTCTTTGCTTTTATTCGTTGAATCGCCAGTTATCGCAAACATACATTCATGCTTCCTCGTGCTCGACTTGCTTGGCTGAATCTAGCGACCTGGTCGGACTTCCCACACACTACAGGAATTTATCCGCGCCTCTCGAACCATCCATCTATACTTCATGGACTCTGATATCTGACATTACGACGTATGGAAAAACATTCAGTCCTCCTATTGAAATATAACGTTCACTTGACAAATCATTTATTCTTCTCAGGCGTTCATTCACGCGTCCTCTCTCAGTCAGGGCAGAACTTCAACTGTCTTACTTCAGTCTCTCGGTTCACGTCTTCCGTTCACGTCTCATGCTTTTCTTGTGTCTCTCACTTCGTTTACCATGAGACACACGAGACTCACTTCTCCCGTTTTTCTCTTCTCTCACGGGTCCTCCGACCTTTTTCTCCCCATCGGAAACTCTCTGGGGTTTCCCCGGGAATTCACAACATTACAATCTCCCCCTCCCTTCTAGTAAAAAAAATTTAACCTTAAAATTTTTTTTCTATTAATTTATCTTTAGGTTATAATTTTAAAGGTTTGGGAATACTTTAATGTAATGATGTGGATTACCTAATAATCATTTTGGGTTTTAATGGTTACTTCCCTTTTGATAGGTTTTACATTATTTCCCTTTGTCACATTACCAGTTATAAGTACCAATAAGTACCAAGTGGCTTAATGGGAAACAACCATTCAGGCACTCTCTTCCAAGTGCGGTAGTCCATATAGGCTCTGCGTATTAACCCCATGCCATCCCACAGTCTGTATAAAACAGAACAACAATTCTGGTACTCTCTTTCAAGTACTGAAGTCCATATCGGCTATGGAACAGAAATGTAGAAAACCCGCAAAGTCCCACCCTCACCGTTGGACTCATGACTACTGTCACTGGTTTACGTTTCAATTAGAAACATATGCTTCCCTATTTAGGATTTCGAACTCAATCCCTTGGATTATGTGGTGTAAATTACCCATTACTTTTCCGAAAAAGTATTATTATTCCCTTTCTATATCATAGTAATTACCCTATTACATGTTTTACAACCTATATTTTCACCAATAAATTTATCTAAACAACCTATGTAATCATTATTAAACCTTATTTCGCCATGTTGTAACATCTTCATTGTCATAATCATCATCATTATTGTCATCATCATCATCGTTATCATCATCATCATCATCATCATAATCATCCTTATTGTTGTTATCAGCATTATTGTCATCATATTCATCTCATCGTCATCATCATTCTCCTCATTATAGTCACCATTGTCACACGTATATTGTTGCTTACTTACAAATGTAACATACATAAAAATCATCAGTTAAGCTATGTTTACATATTTCATTCATTCAACCATATTCTTTCCTGTAATTCAGGATTTCCCCAGGTAATACATACAATACAAAATTGAATCTATGTTTATAATCTGGACATCACGTCGGGTAGATGATTTTCAATGCCCTTAATGTGTTCTATCTTGAACTGAAATTGGGATAATAATAACGCCCATCTGTATACTCTTGCGTTATTTGTTGCATCCATTGTTAACAATTTTGTCAGGCCTAAGTTATCAGTCAGAATAATGAATTCCTTTCCTATCAAGAATTTTTGGAATTTTTTAAGGCTGATAACAAGAGCGAGAGCCTCTTTTTCAAAAGTACTGTATTTCTGTTGGGTGGAATTAAGTTTCTGTGAAAGATATAGAACCGGAAGAAGAGTACCGGAATGCCTTTGAGCCAACATCGCGGCTATGGTATGACCACTAGCATCAGTTTGTAGGTAGAAAGTTTTAGATGGGTCCGGTTGTCTTAGTATTGGTGGAGTGGCAAATGAAGACTTGATTTTTTGTATGATTTTGTCATGAGTTTCTGTCCAATCCTTTTTTTTCTAAACTGGTCTTTTTTCAAAAGTTCCGATAGAGGGGCTGTTAGTTCTGCTAACTTAGGGATGAATTTGCCGTAATAATTTACAAGTCCTAATAGTGCCTGTAGTTGTTTCTTGGTCTTTGGTCTTTCAATTTTTAAAATTTTAGAAACAATTGTCTCGTCAGTCTGAATACTACCCTGGAACACTGTATGTCCTAAAAACTGGATTTGTGTGAAACAAAACTCTGATTTCGCTGGATTAACAGTCAGATTTGCCTTTTGAATGTTGCTGAACACTTCTTTCTATGTGTCTATGTGTTCCGGCAAAGTTTTTGTGTGTATGCAAATATCATCCATGTATGCTGTTACATTATTAATACCTGTTAATACCTTACATTTCTTGTAAAATACCTTTTCATCATGTTAACATGATAAATTTTCAATTTCCCTTTATATCAATTTCATAATCAACATTTGATACTTTTCTTACTATAGTGTAAGGGCCACGCCATTCGATATATAATTCAACTGAATCTTTTGGTAGAAATATAAGCACTTCTTGACCGGGTTCGAAGGTCATCAGTTTGGAACTCCTATTTGCAAACATTCGCTGCGTGTGTTGCGTGGGCATCTGCCTTTTTGTACTTCCATGTTACTAATACATCATTATGAAACACTATAATGGGTGGTTTCTAAATATTGTTATACCAGATACGTGATAATTAATTCCGTGCTAATGTATATAGACACAATTAAAACTGTATAATTAAAGTAGACTGGTTAACCTAATATCACAATATATTAAAATAATCTGCTTGCTGTATGTGACTGCCTTTACCGACAAGTTGTATGTGTAATCACAGAATGAGGAAAGTGTTTAGAATAAACCATGTGTAGAAGCAATAGTTTTAGTAGTAGCAATGCAAGTAGTGTAACACTTTTGAGAAATTGACAGCTTTTGATAATCACCAGGACTTGTGAATTGAAGTTTTTCCGACTAGGATAATTAGTCACTAAAAGTTGCACTATTTGAATAGCATAGATAGTACAGAATAACTCTAAGTTCTTTGTTTGGAATGTTGTCAAAATAATCCGCAATATAATTAAAATGAAGTGTAGTATCCACATCCAA